TTGAATATTACTATTGGTTTCATTTCCCGCTCATTATATCCCATAGGTGCCACTTTCTTATGGAGTGCATACAATGTTGTAGTGAGACTAGTATTACAAGACCATTTCTTCTTCAAGTTACTATGCTTAGGTTGAAGCCTTCTTCCTTATTTCCTCAGCTAGTCTTTCGTTGTCGTACTTAGGGAGGACCCTCTGACTCTTGTAAAGCTGCGAGCTTATTACATCGTATACTTGATGGAATTGTTGATGCTCTTCCTCGCATATAATTATCCGTAGTTACTTATTTCCACTCACTTGTGCTTGTAGGGTTGCTCCTGAACTGAAGTTTTGACTGTCTTCCCAGTGAGACTATCTTTTATTTCCATAACATTCATACGGTACCTTTAACTACCCCAACTCTTGTCTGAATATTTCCCAAGGGTCACGATGTCGTATATGCGAGACTGAATTCATCATGTTAGGATTCGCTATGTTCGTCTTGCACAATCTGTTGATTTGTCTGTGTCTTCTTGTTTATCCATAACTAGGCTCTTCCTGAATTAACTACTAACTACTCGTTGGCCCATTCTCATATCAACATTCTGCGTAATCTTTCTTGGGTTATTTCCTTTGTCTTAACTTACGTCTCGAATTGGTTCCTTATCTATCAATAACATCTCGGGTAGGAACCCTTACTTCTTCTCCTTGACATCATGCTTGCATAATGTTCTAGAATCATAACATGTATGTAGGATTTGAACGAGTGCAATTTCATTCCTTTCTCATTTTTTATCTCATTCTTCCTTTACCATTCTATAGTTACTAGAACCACTTAATTCTGACTTAATGCCACATCACACCATAATTCCCCCCCGCTCCCCAGGGGAACACTAAGATTTAGTGCTACGATGATCTACGTATAGATATTTTACCTATTCATCTTTGGCATATTTTCACACCATCGATGATCCTTACTCGCCTCATGGTAATCCTTCTGTACCAAGGTTAACGAAATTCCTCACTCGCGAGGGTGACACTTAGTGTAACCGGCACATACAGTCCCTTAAGCTTATCTTTGCTCACCTTGCTTGCTTTAGGGAAGCGTATTCCTAACTGACCTTTAAAGGGTATTCTTCAGCCCTCCATTCTATTATCGTCGGGACGCAATCTCTAAAATTCTCATGATGCTGACTATTACTCAGTCCCTAGTTCATGTTTAGTTTACCTTGTTCATCAGTCCATACTGATTTCTATTACTCTGGGGTCTAACTTTTTCTTCTGGTAGTCGCGTTGGAGTCACAAACTTATTTCTCGAAATAAGGGATATGACTTTATGGCCTATATTCTTTTGTTGTCTCAAGGCCTGTCACCTCTCATCTTTTCCTTCACTTGACTATAAACTCTGTAATACGGTCATCTTTTGATCTACCGTTGTCATCCATGTATCATATCTTACTCATAATGCTTCATTAACTCTTTTCTTATTTCTCGCTAACATTTATGTCTATCACTTTATTCTGAAAACTCGAATAAGATATTTTTTTGTTCTTAGCTCCCCTTTTCTCCATCCAGTGGCTCTTCGGGTTGCTTAACGTTCTCGCTCTACTAGGAACGTGAGCCACACTAAGGTAATATTTATCCCTTCCAGGCTTTCGGTTCCTATCTTCTGGAAAAAAAAAATTGATCATGCTGGTATTCACATCTAATTGTAATATTCTATAGTGCACCATCCGGGTGCCTCACAAGGAGATCTATCAGCACCTTTGTAATATCTTTCGGAAATTTCAACAAACATAAACAATCCATTCACCATTTTGGGTTACTCTAACCCAGCCGGATCTTGATATCACGTCCTTTTCTTAAACTACACCTGTTAGCCCCCAATAGGGTATAACTGAGATGGGTATGGCCAATTATACATACCTCTGTTATTGTTGAAGGTAACTCAAAAGGCTTATATTTCTCTTCATGAATGGTAAATAATGATAATCTTCACTAGCTGGGTACCTCGTACCCTCCTTCATCTTGCTTCTTTTACTTGTTGAAACTTGTATCTATCTTCTGAATCTCTCACTACCTTTCACCATGGAGGTGGATAGATATTCCTGCCTTAAGGCTCCTTATCAAAAGGCTTTCACGTCTTAGTACACCCATGATCTGCTGAAGACCTTGCATTTACCCATCATAAGCATCATGCAAAATCGAATTCCTCTGACTCAAATCTTTCACAACCACATGCAATCTCTTACCAACCGTCTTTCTAGATGTAGTCATCATCGTATTATGAATAAGATAAAGTTTAGGAAATTGAGTTCCTACAACTGAGATCTACCACACGGTCGAGAGTAAGAAGAAAGAGTGACAGTCCTAAATGCCCTGTAGCCTCCTGCTTATAAGTGTGGTGCACAACACACCCATAAACAAGACTTTACTAGACACGGCTTGTAGACTCCCTAGGACAGAACTGCTCTGATGCAACTTTTGTCACGACCCAAATCGATGGGCCGCGACGGGCACCCGGTACCTTACTCAACTGAGTACCAACATGACGTATCTTTTCGTATCATACTATCATAGATAACTGAGCCAGAGAGACTGTCGTGAAATAGGTAGAATACAACATGTAACACCAACTTATACATAAGATCTATGGGCCTATAAGACCAAAATAACCACTCGTACACTAAACATAGGCCGACAAGGCCATATAATCCTTTATGTACAAGCCTCTAAGAATACATAATTGTCATAAAGGTAGGGACAGAGCCCCGCCATACCAAACAATACACATCTAAATCATACTGACCAAACAAGCAACTCCAGAGCAAATGGGGTACACCAACATCTTTCGCTGAGCTGATCGCTTACTTAGAGGACTCTCGACCTGTCTATCGAGACCTGCGGGCATAAAACGCAGCGTCCCCAAGCAAAGAGGATGTCAGTACAAATAATGTACCGAGTGTGTAAGGCAATATAGTGAAAGCTGAAACTGAACTGATAATATAATAACTGAAAGTAAGTGGGAGTCAAAGATAATATGGAGATATGCTCACCTGCTGATACTGACTCAACTCTCTCAATATAGTAAGTTAAATAGTTGTCCGGCCTTTTAAGGATCGGTATATATAACTGCTCTGCCGTAGTAGGCTTGATCATAGGCGCTCGGCAATACTAGGCTTTGTATCTCGACCAACTAAGCTCGTCATAGGCGCTCGGCCACAGTAGGCTCGGTATATAACTTACCATCTGATTAGAGTTTGCCCAATAGGGGCCTGCCCATCGATTATAGCTCGATGGTAATGAAAATACTGTAATACTGTATATATAGGGTCTCTGCTCTCTTGACTGGAAGAAGACAATACTCAATTAAACATGAAGTCCCGATAAAGAGAATACTGTAATTTATGAGAATAGGATAATGTATATAAATTCGGGAGTATGAACGTCTTTTTATGCCTCGTTATCAAATACATGTAATTACGAGATCATGCCACAATGAAGGAAGGGCTTAGCCATAACATACCTAAACCGATTCTTTTGACTATTTCTCTAACACACGTCTTTTGCGAAAACACGTGAAGGCGGATCGAAGTAGCGAAAAAGCTGTATGATATTCTTGAGAAAGATTGTATCGTGCTCCTTGGAATTTGCAAACTCACGCTGCCCTTACATAATAACCTCGTCGTATGAATTATTGAAGTGACTCACGTTACTGTTGCAACCTTATCTTTACTGAAGCTCTCTTTCAATTGTAGAGATTCAAAAATGTGATTAAGAGCTCTCTTTGGTCTTTTGGGTGTAGGCGCCACTTTAGGGAATCATTTGGCCACCAAACATCCTTCAATTTTTGCCACCTTATTAAGTGATTTAAGAGTCATTATTCAAGACCTCTTTGGCTGCCACATTCCCTTAATTTCACGTCACTTGCCCCCAAAGACTTATCCAAGATCTTACATAAATAATTATCCTCAAACTTTTAATTAATTTGTTAACTTCCCACTCAAATTAATAATTAACCAAATATCAACATAACTAAGAATTATCTCAATTTACTTAAATACTACTCACTTTTAATACACTTTATACACCTTACTATCATGGCCATATGGTACCTTGTATGTTACTAGTCTATAAGTACCAGGTATTTTAGCTCGAGTCGTATTTTATCCAAAATGCCAAACTTCGACGAAATTTATTTTCTTCGATTTACTTACCCTCTAACCTTCACGAATTTACTTATCCCTTATTTGAAATAGCATAATACTTATAATCCCAAAATAATCTCATTCCCGAGCTTACGTCGATTAAATTATGATAAAACTTTAACGTGCAAAAATACGGGATGTAACATCTCATTTCCGATCTTTCATCAATTTATTTATGGCGTACTTTCTCGTACAAAAAATATGGGGTTTAAAAGCGACCTCCCCAACCTTGATGCGCCTACAATAGCTAAAGTCACAGTGACTGTCGAAACGCCCCAATTCACCAAACACAATATCCCGATCCCCTTTTTCATTCAAAATTTTATGAAAGTAGGTCTTCCATCTCCGCTTAATTTGATCATTCCCGATCAAAACTCTACCGTCCACGTCTTTAATGCACCTCACTTGATCCATATTCCAAGCCTTCCTCTCTCTCACCTTGGCTAGCTGGAATAACTTCTTCTCCCTCCTTTTGATCTGCAGATCCTCATACAAACGCGAAAAAGCCACATTTATTGCCTCTGTAACTGCCAGCTTCGCCTCCTTCCTAGCTACCTTATACCTCTCACTGTTCGCTCTCCTCTCCCCCTCGCCAATGCTCCCTGCTAGCTTTAGGTACACCACCTTCTTCGCTTCCACTTTATCTTGGACCACTTCATTCCACCAGCAGTCTCCTTTGTGACCACCATAGTAGCCCAACGAGACCCCTAACACCTCTCTCGCCACCTTCCTTATACAATACGCCGTCGTCGACCACATAATGCTCGCGTCCCTACTACTCTTCCAGGCTCCTATAGCTGATAACCTCCCTTCAAACTATTGAGTTTTATCCTTTGTCAAGCTACCCCATCTGATCCTCGGAGGTCCTCGTACAGACCTTTTCTTCCTCCTTATCATAATACCGACATCCATCACTAAGAGGCTATGATGCGTCATGATTGTCTCACCCGAGATAACCTTGTAATCATTGCACAACCTTCTGTCACATCTTCTAAAGAGGAGATAGCCAATCTGCGTCTTCGCCACAGTACTTTGGAAAGTAACTAAATTCTCCTCCCTCTTCGAAAAACTCGAGTTCGTAATCACCAGCTCAAATGCCTTAGCGAAATCCAGCAGCGAGTTACCTCCTCCGTTCCGACCCCCAAAATCGAAGCCGTCATGCACCTCACTATAGCCACCTGCAGACAATCTAATATGCCCATTGAAATCCCCTCCTATAAATAACCTCTCGGGGGGCAGAATATTACGCACAATCTAATCCAACCCCTCCCAAAAGCACCTTTTAACCTCCTCATTCAAGCCTGCTTGCGGTGCATAAGCACTAACGACATTTAGGGAATACTCACCAACAACCAGCTTAATAGACATTAGTCTATCATTTACCCATCTAACCTCTACCACAGACTCTCTAAGATCCCTATCCACCAAAATACCCACTTCATTCTTACCCTTCAGGACTATAGAGTACCAGAACTTATACCCATCTGCATCCCTCACCCTCGATCCTACCCACCTAGTCTTCTGGACACACTCTATATTAAGCTTCCTCTTCTGGAGGATCCTATCCAACTTTATATACTTACCCGTCAATGTGCCTATGTTCAATGACCCAATTTTCAACCTATAGGCTCCCTTTTTACCCTTACCTCCCTTGCCTCTCATCGCACCTCCTGTCCCCCACCCCACCNCCACTATACCTACAACCTGCAAAGGAAGAATCACTAGCACACAGTATGTAAACAAACCAAACTAGAAACAAACAAGTAGAAACTACAAGCACGCTAGTAGTATGATTGAACTAGTGCAAACTAAAAATGACTACAGTTTAGCTATACCCAAGAAGAGGGTAGAAGAGCTGGAGGTACCAACTCCCGAGAATAGAACTTGAAATTGTCTTGGTGCACTCGCCGATGCTGCGGCACCTGGCACATTCGCATCCAACTTCCTACTGTCCCTTGCTGACACCCTGGATGCTCTCCTATGCTTGTGCGCGCGCTTCCTACTCATCTCCAATACCACCAAATGTTATGTATAAGACACACAAAAATAATTAAATGCTCCTATGCAGACCCTAGCCAAACTATCTGTCAAAACAGTCGAGTTGTTTTTATGGTGAGCATGTTATAAAGAGGAAAAATCAAGAAGTGAAATAATCTATCATTCAACAGGGTATACATTTAGTTGTTCTTGAAATTTTTCATATAGAAAACCTATCATCAATATATTACCCAAGGTTATTCTTATTCAATGAAGCTTAAATGAGCCTTTTTTATAGGCTTAATAGAGGTCAATCATGTGTTGATTAGGCTACCACTTATGGAGGATTATGTTTATTTGTTGTCTAAGCCTAACTTCTACTTTAAAAAAATCAAGGAGAGATATGGCTGATGAGGTGCACGAAGTGGAATCCATTGTGGAAGCCAGAAGAAGAAACTCCAATTATAGTAGCTTGGATTAGTTTTTCGGAATTTCCAATTATAGTAAGGAATGTGTTTTTTCATTGGCAAATGAAGTTGGTAATCCATTACATGTTGATATTGAAACTATAAATGGTACTAGACCTAGTTCGGCTAAGGTTAAGGTTGAGGTTAATTTATTATATAAGTTTCCTCAACGAATTAAAATAGTAGAGGAAGAAGATGAGTCTGGGCCTGAGGAGTTCATGTGGATAAAGACTAAAGTGTGATTACATGCCCCAGCATTGTAGGAATTGCAAGAAGAAAGGACATAATGAACTTGGTTGTTGGGTAATTCACCCAGAATTACACAAAATTTTGATTAACGAGATGATGATGCTAACAAAGGAAAAACATTGGTTGGTACGACAGCTAATACTACTAAGGTTCTAACTAGTGGAAAGGTGATGGATAGCCGATTGCTAATCTAGAAAGGAAATATAGATCCAAAAGAGGAAGAATAAATACCAAAAAGATAAGAATGGCCACATAATTGATACTAGCAAGGAGAAAGATCATGGCAAGTTCAAAGGAAAAGTCATTGAAGTTGGAGTTTCAACGAAGAACAAATTTGATGCTCTAGAAGTTGAAGAAATAGAGCACCCAACATTGATGATTACTAATTTAAAAGGAGAAGGTAATGACAAAGCTCAGCAGAAGAAGCAATAAGGCATCAAAGCCAAGAAGGTTCAGGAGAAGGAGCAGTTTAGGAGCGTTGAAAATCCCAGCTCCAATCCTAAGGGTGTTGGGATTGTTGTAGCGGCTAAGGGAGGAACTACTAATCATAGTAATACAAGGACTATGGTGGGGGGAAGAAAGAAAGCTAGAAAAGCAAAATCTGGTAGGAGATAGGAGCCCTAATCCTAGTGATACTGGGATTATTGATGTAGCTATAAAGGAGAGAACTATGGATTGGGTGAATAGAAGGATTGGTACTCCTAAAGAGGTTCCTAATGTTACTCTAAATCATTCTTCGTAGGAGATGCCTTCACGGACTTTTCTTGATTTACCTAAGTTAACTGGATTAACTAGAAATGATAGACCATTATGGAGTGCTGAAGTAAAATATGTAGAAGACAATTTTGAGGCAAATAAAAGTCCAACAGTCAAAGATCAAAAGGGCAACACACAGCTAGAATAGGCAGACAAAGTTGACAATAGGGCTACAGTAAACCCCAGCTTGCAGGAAATAAGGGTTGAAGATATGGTGAAGGCTAGTGATCTGCAACCTTTGAAACCAACTAGTGGTCCTAATGGAACACAAGAAGAAACTAGAATTACTGGTGGATCAGTTGTAGATTCATCTAAGAAGAAGAACATCAATGGAATAGTGAACCCTAGAGGAACTATTCAAGTTTTTGACAATTCTAGAGGTGATCCGATGGGGATTTTTGGGAAGGAACAAGTTGGCAATGCTAATGTAGAGGTCTTAAAGGATATAGTGGGCGAAAACCAACAAAAAATTGCTGGCAAGACCTTTGATCTTAATGGAACAGTAACTTTTGGGCAGGTTGCTATATTGAACCCTAATCTGGGTAATGGTTGTGAAATTCAATTCAGGATGATGCAAGAAGTTGTAGGAGCTCTGGAGCATAATGCTATGGTGCTAGAGGAGTAGGCTATTGTCCCAAAGGTAGCTGGAGCTATAGAACCAAGCCCAATGGCCTGTGCATCAGGAATTGACCATGTTATGCAGTGGCGGCTCAATGTTACATTAAAGACTGTTATTAAGAATCGAAATGATCTAGTCAATTACAATGTAGCTCCTATGGAGATAGATTTTATGGATCAACAACAACTTGAAGAAGTAGGGTATGATGAGTCTATTGCTGGGAACTTCAAACAAATGGCAAGGGAGGCTGACTTATCACCCCAAAACTAGTGCAAAGGATGGTAAGAAAGGTAGGAAGTAGACCCAAAATAGAGAATAACCTCAACCTAAAAGAATTTTGCCTAGGAGGGCAGCCTCAGAGACTAAATGATGATCAAGACATTGATTTGGAATATTAGGTCTGTGAATACACAGCAGGCCTTTCCTAGGGTGATCAATATACAAAGAGAGCATAGTTTCTTTGCCATAGCACCGACGAAGCCTTTTCAGAATGCAAGGCATATACAAAGGTATAGAAGGAGGCTGGATACGGAGTCTCCCTTTTTAATTGTAAATGGGAAGATATGGTTGTTCTTTGATGATATAGTGGAGTGGGAATTAGTTATGGAGACTGCTCAACAGGTGACTGTTAAGGTATTTCACCATGACATTGGGCAACATATTATGATAACATTTGTGTATGCAAAATGTTCATCATTAGAGAGGATGGAATTATAGGATAACTTGTATTATATGGCAAGTGATATGCAGCTGCCTTGGTTAATACGAGGATACTTTAATGTGGTGTTACATGAAGATGAGAAGATAGGGGGATTACCAGTGCGCCCTCCTGAATATGAGGACTTTGCAATTTTGCGTAAAGGCTATCCATTTACATGGTGGAATGGGAGACCTAGTTCTAAGTATATTTTCAAAAGATTGACAGGATCTTTGTCAATTTACCATTTTAAAATATTCTCCCTTCAATTAAGGTGGAGCACTTGATTAGAGCTGGATCAGGTCATGCACCATTGTTCATGACTTGTGGAGAGCAGACTACAAACTTTGTCAAGCCATTCAGATTTTTGAATTTCTGGACAAAACATGATACTTTCATGGATGTGGTGAGACAGAATTGGAATGCTGATTTTATTGGAGATCATTTTCTAATGTTCAAGCATAAATTACAGTAGGTAAAGGTAGCATTGTCTAGATGGGGAAAGGATACATTTGGTGATATTTTCAAACAATTGGCAATTCTGCAAGATATTATAAAAGTGAAGGAGATGTTGTTTGAGGAGGAGCCTACACTTTAGAATAGGATTGTTCTTCCGAAAGCTCAGGCATAATTGAAGAAATACTTTAGTATAGAGGAGCAGTACTGGAAGCAAAAAACTGAGATGACATGGTTTGCTGAGGGTGATAGGAACACTAGTTTCTTTCACAATCATGTCAATGGCATGAGGAAGAAGTTACAATTGTAAATGATTCAAAATGAATATGTGAACCGGCTAGAGGGTCAAGAACAAATGGTTACTGTTGCAGTTGATTTCTATCAAAGACAGTTAACAAAAGAAGGGGATCCTACACATTTTTCTATGCTGGACAATGTTCCTTCTATGGTTTCATTGGATCAGAACATGGAGCTATGCAGGTGTCCAACATTAGAAAAAGTTAAGGCTGCAGTCTTTGAGCTAAGAGGTGATAGTGCTAGTTGTCCTGATGGATTCGCTAGCCTGTTTTATAAAGTCTGCTGGGAGGTAGTCGGCTATGAGATACACAATATGGTATTTTACTTTGATGGAGGTGCAGCATTGCCAAAGTCCATTACTCTTACTAACTTGGTACTACTTCCAAAGATGCCAAGAGTTCAGACATTCTCAGATTTAAGACCAATAAGTTTGAGTAACTTCATCAACAAGGTACTTTCTATGGTTTTACATGATTGGCTGGAAAGGTTTCTGCCTTCACTCATATCTCCAAATCAAGTTGGCTTTGTGAAGGGGAGAAGCATCTTTTGAGAAAATTCTGCTTACACAGGATATTGTCACTGACATAAGGATGAGAGGTAAGCTTGATAATGTTGTGATTAAACTTGATATGGCAAATGCTTATGATGGGGTTTCCTAGAGGTATTTGATGCACGTATATTAAAAAGGATGGGGTTTGCAGAGCACTTCATCTACATGATATGGAATTGAATTTCTAATAACTGGTATGCAGTGTTAGTAAATGGGCAGTCTTCAGGTTTTTTCAAGTCTACTAGGGGAGTGAAGCAAGGAGATCCACTGCCTCCTGCTTATTTGTTTTGTCAGCGAAGGTGTTTTCTAGGTCTTTGAACTAGTTGTTTGAAGACAAGTCATTTGTAGGATTTGGTATGCCAAAGTGGCCGGATCCTCTAAACCACTTGGCTTATGTGATGATACTATAATATTTGCATCAGGTCATCCTCCTTATTTAAGCTATATCAAGGCAGTTTTAGGAATATATGACCAGGTGTCAGGCCAGTTGATCAACAAATCCAAGAGCTCTTATTATATGCATGTCAATGTTGCACATGTACGATTCCAAACAATTGGTGATACTATAGGTTTCACTAGAGGAGAGTTTTCCTTCACATATTTAGGGTGACATGGCTTATACACTAGAAGAACTAAGGACTACTATGATGATCTTGTCAAGTAGGTGAAGGCTAAGCTGCATTCTTGGAAAGGGAAACTTTTATCATTAGGAGGAAAAGAAACACTCATCACTAGTGTGTTGCAAAGTGTGCCAGGGTGTCTACTATCAGTGCTTGACCCTCATGACAATATACTGGAGCACTTACATAATTTCTTTGCACGTCTCTTTTGGTGCACAAAGGAAGAAGGAAGGAGTAGGCATT